GTGAGGCGCCGTGGTCACCCCCTGGGCCGGTGGGTGCCAGGGCTGTACGGCTGGGCGGGGAGCCGGCTGCTGCGGGGCATGGTGAGGCACAGGTGAGCCCCTGCTCCTGCTGGCCACACCTCAGCAGTCCCTGCTGCAAAGCTGGCTTGTGTGGCTTCATCAGCTCTCAACGAGGGTGTACCCTGAGCTCCTAGTGCTCTGTTTCACGTGAGAGTGTTCCCACCATTGCAGAGGTTGGAAGGAACTTCTAGAGGTGGTCTTCGTGTCACCCCTTGTTCAGGGCAGGGTCAGCTAGAGGAGGCCACTCAGGGCAAAATCCTGTTGTATTTTGAGTATCTCCAAGGATGGTGACTCCATAACCTCTCTGCAACCTCTTCCAGTGTTTGGCTACCCTTGAGTGTTGACTTTTTTCAAAAAAGCTTTTTCTGTTTAAATGGAAAATCCTGTATTTCACCTTGTGCCCCTTGCCTCTTGTGCTCTCGCTGGATACCGCTGAGAAGAGCCTGGCTCCATCTTCTCCACACCTTCCTGTCAGGTATTTGTACATCCTGAGGTCCCCTGAGGCTTTTCCCCTCCAGGCTGAGCCACCCCAGCTCTCAGCACGAGGTGTGTTGGCTCATCCCACCCTGTAACCCTTTTTGTGACCCTTTGCTCTAGTACCTTCATGTCCCTTGTACCAGGAAGCCCAGTTGTGGACGCAGCACTCCAGATGTGACCTCACCAGTCCAGAGTAGATGCAGGGAAAGGGGAAAACCAAAAAATCCCTTCCCTGGGCCTCTTCTCAAGGCTCTTCCCGGGGCAGCCCAGGATGCCATTGGGCTCCTTTGCCACCAGGGAGCATTGCTGGTCCGTGTTCCATGTGCCAACCAACAGCCCATCTCCCAGGTCCTCTGCGGTGCTGCTTTGCTGAGGGTTGAGCCCCAGCCCCTGCCGGTGCCCGAGGCTGCTCCTCCCTCGGAGCAGGGCTGTGCACTCCTTTTGAAGGGAGCAGGGGTTGTCCACGTTCCTCTGGCTGCAGCCAAAGGCCTGTCCCACTCTTGTGTAGCCTTGTTTGACTCATCCCCTCCCTCCTGCCTGAAGTGCTGCTTGACTTGTTGGAAGCTCCGTTGCAGTCGGTCTCTGTGAGGTTTTTTTTTTGACACTGAGTGTGTTGGCAGTGGTGGACTTGGAAGGCTTGTGCTCTGCTTTGTGCTGGACCTCAAGGGCAAAGCTGAACTCTGCAGTGACTTGCCCAAACTCTTAGGTATGGAGGGAGCTGATGGGTAAAGGTGGTTTCCTAAGGGGCAGTGCTTGAGAGGGGAGGCAGAGCTCCTGAATTAGCTGCGTAACTTGGACCTTCTTGGGAGTGGCAAGCTGCTGTCTCTTCCTTCTTGCAGGGGATTTGTCTGGACGTATGATGTGATTATTCTAATAAATGCCATCTTCATTGCCCTGGATGAGGAAACCCCCTACATCTCCTACGCAGAGTGGGTCTTCCTTGCCCTGTACATCGTGGAGATACTCCTCAAAGTGTACACCTATGAACCCAGGGCCTTCTTTGGCAAGAACCAGTTCTGGAACTGGTGAGTGGCGTGGGGTGGCGTCCAGTGGGAGATTTCTGTGTTCAGCTCCTCCAGAACTGAAAGTCTCTCAGAGACAGGCTGCCCAGGTCGTGTGCCAGGGTGTAACAATGGTTAGAGGATGACATGCTCTTTGCTGGCCTAGCCTGCTGCTAGCAGAGACCACTGCTCTCTGCCCTGATCTGCAGCCTGAGGAGACTGTGGCTGGGGAGTGGGAGGTGTTTGGTTGTAGGAAGCTTCCCATCCTCCTGGAGGTGGCACCGGGCTGCCTGGCACAGTGTGAGGAAGAAGGGCTGCCCCTTGTGCTGCCTGGCAGCTGCAGCACCCCATCCCCTGGCCCAGGGATCTAACAGCACTGCCTTCCCTCGTGCTAGGTTTGATACCCTCATCATCTTTGCTGCCTTGACTGCAACGATACTCAGTGCCACCCTCCAGTCCAGTAAGTGCAGCCTGAGCAGCCTGCATGCCCCGGGAGGCTCGGTGCCCTTCAGCTGTCTGCCCTCACCTGGGGCTTGGGAGGCTTTGTGGCAGCACAGCCCCACTTCCTACAGGGTTTCTAAGGACTAACCCACTCTTCCTTTCCTTTTTTTTTTTTTATAGCTACCTGTTATAGTGTTTAACAAGGATATAGTTGTAAAAAAAATATAAGAAGATGCTTTATCTCTGTGCTCCCCTCTTTATTTTTCATACAAATCTTCTTTTTTTTTCTTCTCCCAGCCACAAAGTACAACAGCCAACAGATCCTGGACATTGTCTTCATCCTAAGGGTCCTCAGGCTAATAAGGATTGTTGACAGCATTCAAAGGTGACAAAGAGAAGGGGACAGGGATATATTTGGGGGGACAGGCTGTGTCAGAGGCTGGCTGAGACAGTGCCCAGAGTTGCTCTGCATGGCTGGTTTGGATGGACCATGGCCACTCAACAAAGCATCTCAGGGCCTCGTTCCAGCCTCTCTGGAGGCTGTTGTAGAAGGCTGAGCGGGGAGTGTGTGCTGGGTGGGTGGTGATGATGAGCAGTGGGCTTTGGAAGAGCCTCCCCACAGCAGGTTGTGTCCTGAACCTTTTGCTGCAGGTTCCGGGTCATCATGAACACGCTGATAAACATCGTACCCACAATGCTGACCTTTGGTGGGCTGACTCTGGTGAGAAATCCTCATCTCTTACCTCAAAGCACTCCAGTTTCACAGCAAAAGTGTGACTTAAGAGCTATTCCTCTTCCCAAGAGCAACCCTGAGGTTGCCCTGGAGCTCGTTGCCCTCTGGAGAAGCAGGAGATGGTTTTCTCTTCCCAGGTGGTGTACTGCGTGTTCGCCATCATCGGCATGGAGCTCTTCCACGGGAAGATCCAGTTCTTCCCTGCCAACTCAAACGCTCCCCACGCCCTGGAATGTGGAAACCCAGCTCTCAAGGATTCCCTGTTTGCCCGTGGGAAGTACTGCAAGAACAACTTCAACAACTTCGCCTCGTCCTTCATCGTCCTGATGGAGCTCACGGTAGTCAACCAGTGGCACGATATCCTTTGTGGTGGGAGGTCCCTGCAGAGGGCCGTGCCCAGAGGGCCGTTGCTGGGAGGTGCTGTCTGGCTCCTCTGCAGCAGGATGTTCTCCCTCTCCAGCTCTCTTGCCCTTAACTCCCCTCGTACTCTTCGCCAACGGGTTCGCCAGCGTGACGGCCCCGCCCGCGAAGCTGTTCTTCATCGCCTTCCACATCGTCATGGTCATCATCATCGTCAAGTAAGGCTTTGCTTGGGTTGCTCCTCTCCATTTTGGAGGGGATAGGGGCTCTCCCTCCTGCCAGGGTGCTGGTGGTGGTCTCAGGGTCATGTGTGGTGTGACTCTCAGATGGGCAGGATGTGGAGCGTGGCCAGAGAAGGGCAACGGAGCTGCTGGGGAAGGGTCTGGAGCCCAAGTGTGGGGAGGAGCAGCTGAGGGAGCTGGGGGTGCTGAGCCTGGAGCAAAGGAGGCTCAGGGGAGACCTTCTGGCTCTGCACAGCTCCTGACAGGAGCCTGGAGCCAGGGAGGGGTCGGGCTCTGCTCCCAAGGAACAAGAGATGGGGACAAGAGGAAGAGGCCTCAAGTTGCCCCAGGGGAGGTTTGGGTTGGACCAGAACTTCTTCCCCTTGAGGGTTGCCCAGGGCTGTGCCGGTTTGCCCAGGGCAGTGGGGGAGTCCCCACCCCTGGAGGGGTTCCCAAGCCGTGGAGATGTGGTGCTGAGGGACACAGGGCAGTGGGGACCTGGCAGTGCTGGGGGAATAGTTAGAATCAGTCTTAAAGGTCTCTTCCAGCCAGAACAACTCGCTGGTTCCGTGCCCTGGATGTATCTGTTCATATCTCCACTGAGCACAGCTCTGACCAGGAGCTCCCCCATCTCTAGCAGAAGAGGGATGGTGGTGGGGGTGCCAGCAAAGAAATGCTGCTGTGTAATTCTGCTCCTCCTTCCTTTCAGTATCTTTGTGTCCTTCATTCTGGAAGCTTTCTTCGTGGAGTACTCCCTGGAGAAGAGTGAAGTGGAGACAGCCATTGAACAGAAGATCCAGGAGCTGGGGATGGGAGTTCAAGAGTAAGCTTCCCAAAAGGGTCGTGCTGGATGTGGCTGGCTTGGCACAGCTAACAGGGCTGGGGGACGGCAGGAAGAAGCCACCCCCTGTCTGAGGTGTGAGCTGAGGTTCTTCCTTGTCACAAAGCTGTGGCACCTAGGCTTGGTCTGGGTGTCAGCAGGAGCTGCTGGTGCTGGCCTCCCTGCCGTGCTGAGCTCTTCCCCCCGGGGGGCAGGAGGGGTGGGGGAAGCTGGCACCAGGAGTGGTGCTTGCCCTGCCTGAGGGAACTCTGCTGCCAGGCCCCTGGGGCAGGACCAGCCCCCCGGGGTAACTTCTGCCCTTTCTTGTGCAGGGATGAGCTGCGGGACGAGCAGCTGCTTGAGAACATGGAGAGCGCCGAGCACGACCTCGGGGGGGATGCTGGAGCAAAGCCCCAGGCCCAAGGGCTGCTGTTTAAAATTGCCTCCAAACGTAAGTGCTGCCCTGTGGTGTGCCCAGTGTCTTATTGGGGATGTGGCTCTGAGCTGTCCCTGCTGGTAGCCAGCCCTCTCTGGGGAAGCTCCCAGCACTTCTGCTGCCTTTGGGCTACAAAAGCAGCTAAATAACCCAGCTGGAGGTTTTGAAAGAACTGTGGGTGCTCTAACATATGCTGTTTCTTTTTTTCTTCTCTAGCAACTTTTCCCCTCTTCTACCTTGCACCTTCTTCCCTCTCCAGTCTCTGAGCACCCTGCTGGGGTAGCCGGGGTCCTGCTGTGCCAGGGAGCCTGTTCTGTTCTCTTCTCTCCTTCCTCTGGACACTTTTTCTCCAGGCTCAGGTCATGAGGTGATTTACAAGCTCATTTCCTCTCTTACCACTGTCTTATACTGTCAGTGTGGGCTTAGCAGTTCCTTAGGAGGAACAGGTGTGTTTAGGATGTTAAAATAACACTCCTTAGAAGCACATAGGGTAAAATATTTTTTTTTAAGCACATAGGGTAAGATATTGGGGTGTTTATCGTTCGATGTGAAGCAGGGGGAGCAGCGTTAGGGCAGGCAGTGACTGTGCTCGGCCCCCCGCAGGGTACAGGACGGTTGACGCTCTGCTCCAGCGCATGTTCGAGGCCGAGATCCCCCTGGAGGACGAGGGCCCCTCGCTGGAAGAGGCGCCGAGCTCGGCCCCCGCGCCCTCGGAGAGCGCGGCCTGACCGCAGC